GAAGACTGCTTGTTTGATACCGATTTGGAAGAATCTGCTCCGGACTCGGATGCAGTACCTGTGGTAGTTGCGGTGGCGGAAGCGGGCGAGGTAGCACCATTATCATTATCAGAGTTGTCATCATCAGCATGGACGAAGGCCTGACCTATAGTTGGGAGCGGGGCGGATGGATCCACGGCCCATCCACCATCTGTCGAGGCAGGGCATTCCGGAGGGGAGATAGCCGCGGTGGATTTGACATAGTCGGATAGAGCGACGCCGGTAGGGTCGAGCGTAGCCCACTGGTTCTTGAGGTTATCAAAGTCAGGTTGGATCGGGGTGGGTTCACCCTGGCGAGTGAAGCCGTCCTGGACGATGATATCCTTGGTAGCGGTTGGGGGGGTGTCGGCGCCGGGAGGGCCATACTCGATCAGGCCGTAGTCGTTGGTTTCCTCGATCCATTCGTAGATCATAGCGCCAGACCAGGTGCCCGACATGTGGTCACCGAAGATGGCGGCCTGGTCGGAGAAGGTGCGGGGACGAGCTACGTTGCATCCTGTTTCGGAGAAGAAGATGGGGATGGGGTAGCCTTCTGCTTCGTCTTGGAGGGTTTGGTAGCCGGACAGCTCGTATGAGGAGTCACCGCACCATTCGTAGGCGTTGAGGGAGAAGAAGTCGAGTCGTTCGGCGGGGTCAGAGCGACAGGCTAGGTAGTTCTGCAGCATGGGGCGCAGTTCGGCGATGTCTGCGGCCGAATAGCCGACTGGGATGGAACGGTAGTGCTGCGCATTGCGATAGGATTTGATGTCGCGGGCTGCGGCTAGCACGTAGGGGGCGGCGGCGGAGCCGTCCTTGGTGGTGAGGACTTCGTTACCGACGAAGACTCCGGCGGTGTTGTCGTATTTCTGAAAGGCGTCCAGCACGGCTTTAAAGCTGTCGAATTGGGATTGGTCCCAGTGGGGGTCGTCCTGTGAATTGGGGATGGAGTGGTTAGTTATGGGGTAAGGGTTTTGTTGGCGGCCTGATACGATGATGGTTCGGGTGATAGGTCATGAATAGGGTATAGATGGTGGTGGTGGTAAGTGCATACCTGGGAGATCGCGGTGTCGAACGTGTCGAGATCGACGAACAGGTAAATGCCTGCATCTGCGAAAGCTTTCATGCATCCGTCGTGGTTGGCTTTAGGGTCCACATGGTACACACGGATTGCATTGGTGCCCAACTCGGCCATGCGGGCGGCATCTCGCGTGCATTGAGCGGTGTCAATCAGGGGATCTTCGGGAATGAGTTGATAGGCGATGCCTAGACCATGGTGTGCGGGTCAGTGCGTGAGGAACTATCGTGGGTCGAATGGAGACACACGCACCTTTGATGTAGTATTGGGTGCCATCTTCGTAGAAGAATTTTGAACCAACCGCCGAGATGGTTTGTATGGCACTGGCGGTGGGGGCATAGAAGAACGTGTTGAGCAGCAACGATAGAGCAGTTGCAGATGATGACGAGTGTGTTTTGACCATTGTCTTTTCTCGCAGTCCCTGCACGCGGCTTGGCTCTCTGCAAAGTAATCTGCGATAATAGATCGGGTGGGTACTCTGCAGTCTCCCTTCCGGGGATTCTGACCGCTATCCTTATCCAAAGAGTGATAAAACAGAGCGAATAGACCAGTCCAGTGCGTCGGTATCAATCGAGTAAGACAGAGTGCAGAAGTGAGTAGAACACGCCAGCAAAACTGCCTGCAGCTGTCTGGACAGTGAATGTTGTAAAGCTGTAAAGCAGGGAGATAAGACGACCCAGGGAATGAGAATGCAGGACACTTGCATGGACGAGAAAACACCTGTTCTAATATAACAGATGCACGAATAACTGTTGAAGTCATTCATCCCCCCGGGTATCTACCTTCCCATCGTCCTGGCGCCCTGCCATACCAGAGGTACCGTGTCTGCCCTGGAGGAGACATACTCGGGAGTGTTGTTGCAAGGAGCGTGACGTCAAAAAGAATCCTGCAGCTGTGTTAAACTCATTGTGGCTCTGGGAGTGGATGAGAGAAGGAGAGGCAGTTCCAATCTCCGGGGAAGATGGAATGCAGCACGATCGAAGGGGGAACAGCTTAATGGATGCCAGGGTGCATGGGATCGACAACATGGATTGGGATTGTTTATGCAGGCATTGCAACAAGGTTGTCGCGAACTATGTGAGTACCGCGTCGGAGATATCTGGGACACCACATTCAATAATGTTTGGGTTAAGCATTTTATCTGAATGGAACTTTGAAATTTGGTAACTACAAAGTGTCTATCTATGGGACATTTTACTTCCAGTCAGATATTCCAATCAAATGTTCATGAGTGGTCTGGTTCCTGACCCGAATTGGCAATCCCCAATCCCTCACGTGATTATAGGGGTTTCGCACAACAAAACATTTCCCGATTAGTCATGAATCGTTTCCTTGAAGGAAAAGGAGGGAGCGAGACAGAGGGAAATGAGGTAATAAATCCAGATTATTGCTACACAGTAATTAGATAGACTAATACTAATTTGGCTCCGGGAAATTAAAATCAGAATAAGACTGGAACTGAAATTGAAATTGCTTGTGTTTCTCGCCTGAAACCTGTAGGGCAGGGAGGGCCCGAGTGGATACTACTTAGCACTTATGGTGTGGTAGGAATTGTGTGTCGCAATTAAATCATCCGGTTTGATCGCCTGGGCTGAACAGACGATTAATCTCTCAAACGATAGTGGCTAATAAATCTGAGGAGGGGGCAAAGTGAAGTTGGGTAAGAAGCTACTATTAATATGTATGCTATGATTTTTTTGTCAAGATATGCTGGGAACATGGCACTGGGTGGACACGATCCAGCGATGTCAGGAGGAACCTGACCAGTTGCAAGCCATCGCCCGGGATTGCCCGCCCCCTTATTGCTGGAAGTGTTCTGCTTTGGGCTCTCCGGTCTCGCCCAAAGCACGAGGAGCGATGGGTCTTGGCAACGATCGAGACCCTGGCTGGGCCCACCGCCTAAATAATTAGGATCATCTGGAGATGGGGTCTGTTCTCTGCTAGTTACCGTTACTCTTCGGCCGCTTGACGTAGGATGCTGTTGAGATAATTGAAAAATAAATATGAACTAAATGAGGGAAAAATTCTGAAAAAGCAACAAAAATCAAAGTAGGCAACGTAGACAGCCTCTTCGTTGTGATACAATTATTATATCCCCCCATCCTTCTTGGGGGTTGGAAAGTAAAAAAAAAAGGAGATGCAAGCAGAGAGTTACAAGCAATCGACTAGTGAAAGACGGATCGTCACCGGCTTGCGTGGATGACGGGGCCTCGTCTGACTGGGGCTTCCTTTTCCCGCATGCGTGCCATTTCCCTTTCCAAGGAATCTCCGCCAACGCTTTCATTTCATTTCCTCCTTTTCCTTTTTCATTTCCTGCTTTTCCCTTTTCCACCCCCCTCCCCTCTTTTTTCTTTTTCTTGCCCGTTTCTGACGTGCTGGGGGGTTTAAACTCATACTAAAGTAGATATATCTACAATTCCCATTGTCCCTCCTCCCCTCCCCCCCTTCTTTTTCTTCTTCACCTTATCTACCTACTATCCACCCTCTTACCACACCTAATCCCTCACCAACACACACTCCATTCTCGTCTATTCTGGTCTGGATCATGCTATCCGTGGTTCTCCCGTCTTTCAAATTCGCCCTCTTTGGAAAGCTTCTCCGCCCACTTGTGCCTCGTTTGATTGGCTCGGACTAGTCGTTTCGTGTTTCGCCCAAATTCAACCCTGTTGTGCCTCCCCGGTGCAACGTCATCCTTATTCGCATATTAGTCGTCGGATTGCTATTTTTGTCCCCATCGCTATATATTACCGTCTCCATAATATATTCCCACCTCTTTCATCGTTACGGTCTATCCGTTGCGCAATTAAGCGGTTGACCGCAACATGTCCACCACCAGCACATATTCCCCATTTCGCATCTCTCCCCGGGATCGCGCCAATTTGGATCGCAATGAGGCTTTTAGGCTTGTGAGGGAGCATCTGAGGCGCCAGGAACTGGGCATGAAGGCTCCTAGGTACGTGTCTTCAACCATCAAGAAAAAAAAAAAAAAAATCCGCGGTCAAATATCGTAGCTAATATATCGGCTATAGCTTTTGTGCCGAGCATCGCCATGATACCCCCAGTCAAGAACAGGAAACCTTCCGCCTTCATCGCGATATCATCCACACCATCCTCCTCCCTCTGTTCCTGCTCCACCATCAAGCCTCGCGTATCGCAACCAATGTGCTGCCACGCTACAAAGGCGCGGAATGCGAACGGGCGTTCCGTGGTGAGGCGCGTGGTGCTTATGCATGGCTGCATTCTATTCTGAGCGAAGAGCATGATTGGTATTTGACCGAGCGCTGCCCCGCCTGTATCGTTCTGCACGTTATGAATTCGGAGCCGACCATTCGATTTGTCGCCGTGGCGTGTCTCCTGTCAGACCACTTGCAGGGTCTGGACCTCCCGAGCGCCAAGAGACGGCTGCCTAACTTCGACTTTTGGTACGAATCGCTGGAGAATGCTGTCCGTGAGGATACGTTTTGGGGCGAGGGCTTCTGGCCGGACATCGAATATCGCGCCTGCGCCTTGACCGATGGTGTGAAGCAGCTGGTGCTGCAGTGCTTGGAGCTGCAGGCTGCTCTGGACCGACACGACCTGCAGCCCGAGGAGTCGTACCGACCGACTCAGCGCTCTCGGAATGACTCGTCACGGCCGTCCGTGACGGTCAGGCAGTCCAGCTGCACGCAGCTCCCTGTCATCGACGAAGAAGACCAGAAGCTCTTTGCCAAGGCCGGCGCCAATCGCGGCATGCATCCCTGCCGCAGTGAGCGGCCGCAGAGATTTCATGCTCGCCGCCATGGTGACCCTCGCAGAAGATCGGTGACATCTTGAGTGATCGCAGGGGTGCTTGTGTCAAGCGACCAAGCTGGAAGAACAATCTAAACAGACTACCTGTCGTGGGTCTAGTCGCCAACGGTCTGGAATCATCCTGCATCGGGGATGGCCGAATCCGTCGCCGAAATTAGGAATCGGCCCACTGACGTGAGTTGCAAACTTATTGCAACCACCTCTCAGTGAAACTATCTACAGTCCCGAAGCAAGTAGGTGCGCACGAAGCCTAGACGTGCCACCGAAGTTTCAATGCCCCCGTACTTCCTCATGCAGAAACTCACGGACATCCCCCCGTGGATGTAATGTCGAGGACTGCTTCCGCGGAAATGCCTACCGTTGTGCATGCGTGTGTGGCTTGAGCAGGATTTGTCCAGATCGTGCAATCCTGTAAGCCATTCGCAGCAAGGGGGCAAAAGACGTGGTTCGGGGGCTGAGGTTATTGAGAGGACAGCCACGGTTAGAGTGTGGAGGCAAAATAGCCTCACGAGGTGGAATCCGCAAGGATGAAGTAGTTCTATTCTACTGTATATACTTTTGATGGACGAGAAGAGCAATACATGCACAAACAGCACATTGAACCTATGTCGGTCATGCAAAGTAGAACTGTAACAGAATCGGACACAGACCCGCCCACACATCAGTTACTATCCAACGTAAGCCTCTGACAATGACACAAACACAAAACAAAAAACAAAACACGCAATCCAAGTCGATCAAACACACAATCACGACGTTCTGTAACCAACTATCTACCTCCCAAGTGCTATGTACCTAACACATCTAGCTGGCTAGCTGTAAGATTGTCCATCTGGCTAGCTGACAAGACAAGAAGAAGGCAAGGGAAGTTAAGTCAAAGTGGGGAACTTTCATACTGCATGCATGCATGTTGTCTTTTCAGTTCCATTCAGCAAGCCATGAAAACAAACAAACAAACTAAATCAATTATCTAAATGTCTCTCTCTCTTTGCCCCTCTTTTATGTACTATTCCCCACTGCATCGACAACAGAAAACAAAAGCCAAAGAAAGTCAGACAACGAATGGAAATAATAAAAAATAAACTGAAAATAAAGATAATACAATCCTGATTTTTTTTTTCTCCCAGACCTTTGTATATCTGAGACATGAAGAAGTGGATTCAATTGCGGTAAGTGGTGGTAGTAGTGGTAGTGGTGGTGAACTAACTTACGTACGTACGAATGTGCCGTGTTTTCCCCACATTCTACTACCCGCTAAATATCTGGACTAACGTGTTAGGTTAGATTTGGTTGGCTAAGTAGATTAGATTAGTTGGTTAGTTGGTTAGTAGTTGGTTGGTTTACTCCGCGATGGCGATGGCGAGGGAGGAGTAGAAGTGGAGGAGAAGGAGGAGGAGAGGGGTGGTGGCGGCAAATTCGTATTCATTCTTTCTATCTTGGACTCTTTGAGTATCTGGTAGTGTCTATCTATCTGGGACATGGGATGGGATAGGCTAGATTCCACTCGGTAGTTTGACGAAATAGGTATTTGGTGAGGGTTTAGGTGTGTGTGTGGGGGTAATATAAGGATGGGTGTATGGCAATTATCTTATCGCAATCTAGATTCGACATGGACATTGGGACTTGGTGGGTTATGGGTTATGTGGCACGGGATAGAAAGTAGGTCTATCTCTCTAACTGTCTATACTATGTCTATCCTATTACTTTACTTCAATCATTCTATCCTCTGGTAGAGGAGATTGAAGGATGATGGTGATGATGAATCTAGTCTTTAATCATTCGATCCTCTGGTCCGAGTAGACTGGAAAGGATGAGTCTGGCTGGTCTCATGATGGAAGATCAATTAATCTAGACTATGTGGAGAGTAACGGGGAGGAAGGGAAGTGTCTGGAACCGTGGGTTGAGGATGGATGGTGTATCTAGTTATGACGGGTTGATTTGAGGAGAGTCATTAATATAGAGGACTATTAGACTAGTGGTAATGGAAAGAGAGAGAAAGTAAGGTTGGATACGGGATAGTTGTGTATGGCTGGATTTAATTATCGGAGGGGGAGAGAGATTTGGGTTATACGGGATGGGGGTTGAAGATTCCATGGATGGGTGTGTTTGAGAGATTCTTTTCCTTTTTCTCTCTCTTTATCTTTTTATTCTTTCTCCGTGGGAATCATTTGATTGTCTTTTTAATTTACTATGTATTGTTTTCTCTTGTACACTGGTACTTGGTTAAGTGTAGAGTGGAGCCTCTATCATCAGGCATGAATTCATTCCTTGATGGATGGAGACAGGCCACGCCACCACACGAGAGTATCTGGTAGAAACATCAGGTTGTGTAGGTAACCAACGGGGTCTAGACTGGGTCCGAGTCGGATGGGATACAACCCGGTGGGGATCACCATTATCCACAATTCATTTTTGCATTTTCCGTGCTTGCGATCACATCACGAGATACATTTGCTGGCACAACCGTATACCACCTACGTTCTAGTTGTTGTGTAGTACAGAGGATGTTCTGGATCGTGGGTGTGTGAGAGTGAGCCGTGTATACTTGATCAGGAAGGGATAGTAATTAAATAGACGGCATGTAGATCCATACATCGCATCACATCCGGCCAGTCTCGAGAAACAGGATATCGAGGGATCTAGTAGTAGTCTAGGTTCTGTTGGTAGATCAGAGAATCAGGTTTGAGTCGTCGCTTCACTTTCAAAAGGAGATGGCTATTGTGGATGGATGAATGTGTATGCAGATGCCTTGTTCAGAGTGATGTGAGTGATGAAGATCGTTCTCTTTCTGTAAGATTTTTGGTTTGGTTGGATATGCTATATCCCTGATATGGATGGTGATAGCATACGCATGCTCCTTATGCTGAAATTGTGTGGATAGATAGCTAGGGTCCAGAACTGGGTGACAGCAGTGGACAGTGACAGTGACAGTGACACCTGTCAGGCAGGATCGCTTCAAGGGTCTAATTTCACGTACCGTGGAATTGTATCCCAGTCGGTAATTAAGAAGTTATATCGCTTCCGACAACGATGGAAATTAGCAGAAAAGGCTGGAGGAGAACTAATCTAATAAACAGGGCTTAATCGGTGATAGTGTTGGGCTGTGTGCGAGGCCAAAAGGAGGTGAGGATGATTCAGCCACTTACGACATGCAATTCTCGTCGGCTATGGATGCGTACAGACGGGATCGTTCCAATGGACTGGATTGGACTGGACTGGGCTTGAAAGTGGGGGGAGTGAGAACAGGAGGGAGGGGAAAAGTAGTAGCAGGAGCAAGGCGTGGATAGACGCATTTCTTTTTCCATCGCTCTGCCCGTTGTATGTATGTACCTCCTGTGTGCGACTGGGGACGACATCTGAGGTCAGACGCCGTGAGGCTGAGATAAGGAGGCATTTTTAATTTTGTTTACCGGAAAATAGAAAAGAAAAAAAAGGAGACAGAGATAACTAAAAGCAGTATACCTATGGACGGAGTTACCCGATTAGGTAAACACATGGAGATTGTTTTCAGTATGTTCAGCAGCGCCAAAAGTACAAACAACAAGCACACTAAACTCCCTCTTCAGCCTCAGCTCTGCGCAGCCACGGGAGCCATGCCGGATCTACGATAAACCTGAAAGTCATAGTCCTAGCGAACTAATCAACTTAACTCTCAGACTAACTTGCTCCCGCACCTACAGATCCCTAAACCAATTTTCTCTTTTGCCTGACCCGACCTACAGTAACCTAGTCAAGCCCAAGCTACGGCCTAAGTTAAGTAAACCTTCGGTTAGAGAGGAAAGTCAGTTTAGTTTCCCTTAGGTAGTTAGTCTAGTCTGTAGACTGGAGAGGGAGACAAGACAGACCAGGGCCTTCCAGTGGCCCCCTCCCTCCCCCATCCATCAACCCTGCCTGATCCCAGAAGAATTGAACCTTATCCCGCCAATGGTCATCTCTAGGCCCATAATGGCCCAGTTGCGCACACACACAACAATAATTGACCTGAGTTTTTTATTATTCTATTTTCCCTTTTGATTCGTTTCGGACCACATAAGGCGGATCTTTTCGGCAGCACGGAACAAGGGTCTAGGCGTCAATCCGCCCGGAAGCGGCAGTGGGTTTCGATCGCGCCATGCAAGCAAGCCTTCTGCTGCCCGGGGAGGCCAATGAGGGTGGCCTCTGCGCCACGCCGAAGCAGGGTGAGGGCGAGACTGTCGACGTCAAGAGTCACTGAAATTTGGGGGATGAGCAGTTTTGAATTGCCGGTTGACTTTGGGACAGACACTTGAGAGAGGCAGAGGGATTTGGCTTAGAGTTCCAGAACCATTTTTCCTTTTGCTTGGCCTTGTTGGTTTTTATTCTAATGATTTTTATTATTATTTTATTTCTCATTTTCTTATTATTTTCTATCTGGGTTTTCCATAACAGGTGATTTATCTCCTTCCTGGCTGGCTCAACTCATAGGCTCCCTCAACCATCTCGCCCTTTTCCGGTCCGCGTCTACTCTGAGTCATGCTTCTACACCGTAACTATTTATTGTGCGTGGGAAATTTCTAGATTCAGCAGTGCAGGATCCATGAGTGGGTAAGGTACTGCGTACTAGTTGGTATAGGTCAGGTACAAATTATGGGGAAAGGGCAATAATAAAGACGATAATGAAGAACTACTACTGAAGGCTGAAGCGTGGCCGGGATCGAAGATGCTAGTACCATCACTAGACTAGTTATACGCTACCCACCTGATTGAACACTGGTTTATTAGTTTGCTCACCATTGTGGTCTTAATCAGGGACTATGTTCCGGATTATCTGGGGTTTTCTTGATGTTGTTGTTTGTTACTTCTGTGCAGTGTGCACCCGGCTTCGCTTCGGGATTCCCGAAAGCTTCAACTTTCTGAAGAATCACCACTACAATGTATGGTAGGTCAAATGTATAGACAGGAAATTGGTTGTTAATAAGCATCGGATCAGACGGTAAAGAGCGAGATCGATAAAGTGATGCTGATCCCAGGTAATACGAGATCTAGAGCAGAAGACAAGTTGTTGGTTACTGGTAACGGCCATTGTTACCAAGTATAGTGCGAGGGAAGAATAGAAAAGCAAACCTCCTGATCAGTTCGCCCTGGTTGAAATAACCATGCTGCCTTTTATTTTATTTTATTTTCTTTCCTTTTCTTTGCTCGTACACAATGTGGGCAGTTTGTAGTACCTGCCTGACGCCTGGCACGACGGCCAGATCCACCCAGACAGACAAGTCGTCATGGATCAAGCTGGTCATCCATGCTTTTCTTCCCAGGGTCCAGTCCATTACATCGCTTGCCTTGTCTTCATTACACACTTTGGCTGGTGGTTTTGTTGGTACTGCTGCTGCTGCTACAGACAAGACTCCCCTCCGACCGGGAAAGGCCAGACGGGCGGTGGGGCGCTGCTACCACTTTTTTGGGGAGAGATGGGGGGCAAAACTAAAAAGGTGGGCACTGGACACTGGTGGACTCTGCTGGAAGGCCCGTGTAATGCCCGTTACGGTATCGCTGGGCCTGTCCCGGTTTAGCTCCGATCAGCCACTATGGAGGCCTAGACGAGTCGGAGGCGTCTGGGCCTCTGGATGAGTCGGTTGGTCGGCTCCGTCCGCGACCTTGAGACTTGAGCAGGAAACCTTCCTGCTTCGAGTGGGAATAACGTGGACGGTTATTATATGGGATGAATAGCAAAAAGAATATTTTTTAGGATACAAATTAGCAGCTACAAGAAAGGAAATCGCTAATAAGGGTAAATAAAACAATGCAGGTGGAATGCCGGCGGGAGCAGATGATAGATTAAAAGTGTCCCGTTTTATACACCTGCATTGCTCACCCGCTGACTGGCCCGACCGGGCGTCCTCGTGTCATGAATTCCCCAATCAGGCCAAGGCCGGCAGGTCTAGAACGCCGGTGGAAAGTCGCAGCCCGAGGGTCTTGGCTGTCAGTCTCTGCGTCTGGCCCTTGGGTCAATTTCCCAGGCGTCATGATCCTTTTTCTGTCTGTTCTGTTCTGTTCTGCTTGAAACTGAACCGCTATTTTCCATCCGCGCCTAAACTTTCTCGACAGGGCCCGGATGGCTCTTTCTTTCGACTCTCTCGCTGACTCTCTTACACTCTCTGGTCCTTTCTTTCCCCCCCTCCCTTCAATCTCGCTCTCTTCTCTGTATCATCATCATCGTTTACCATTTACCTTCTGTCTCTCCATCTTCTCATCTTTAACCTTCCACTTCTTCCCTTCTTCCCACCTTCCTGTCATCTCTCGTCCTCTTACTACTTCCCCCCCTCCTCTTCCTCCTCCACTCCTCTTTTAGTGTCTCCCCGGCCTCTCTCTCTCATTCCCGACCGTCTGTTTTGCTTTCCCTTCTAACCCAACAACTACTACTCGTTTCCCCCCTCTCCCTGTCACGAACTCTGCCACGCCATCCAGCTTTTCATGGTGCTGTTTGTTCGTGATTTCCACCAAGCTACCCAACCTTCCACCACCATTACTCAATATCAACTCTCCTTCTCCCCGGCCCCAACATCGTTCCCTCGGGTTGTGTCTGAGACCTGAAAGTCCTTCGGCTGCACTCTAAAGTTAGCGTACTCGTGGATATTGAGTTGGCTGGATCCGCCTCTTTTCGACGTCGCCTCCCTTCCCCGGCTCGCCAGTAGCCCAGCAATAGACTGGATGAATCCCCCACAGTGCCATGGACCATATCGACCTACATCTGTGGTGCGAGACAGCCCGGTCATGCGTTCGCCATTCTCAGCGTCTTCCTTCTCATCCACCTCTTCCTCAGAAGCGTCGGGGGAACCCAGCACGCCAATGAGAGCCAGCTCGCCAGCTGATTCACAGGATCCGCTCCAATTAAGCCCCGTCTCGCCTCTCAAGTCACACCCGCAACTATCTTTATCACCATCCTCTGCCTTCCACCACAACCATCACAACATCGGCTCCAGTCGATTAAAGCGACGTGCCTCTCAAGGATCCCTCCTAACAAAGCCTTCTCCCGTCTCTCGATTCCTCTCTCGCAGCAACGCTTCTCTGCACCTGCCATCCTTGGAAGACTTCGGCCTTTTCTCCAAATCCCCGACTCGGGCGGAATCCCAGTCCAATCCTTCCGACACTCGTCTTCGCGTCTCCACCTCCTCCACCGCATCGGGCTCGCTGGCGGCTCGTGCGTCCCAGTCAACCGCCGGGGTGTGGGAGACATCCGCCGCCAAAAGTGATTATCTCTCCGCCCTTCCCCCGACTCCCCCGGATGACAACGACCACATAGCGTGGAATCCTTCATCCGGAATGTTGCTGTTCGAGTCGCATATGAACCGGGAGCCCGGGCCAATGGCCATGGACGAAGGTCCCAGCATCGGTAATTCGCCCGGCCGAACGTCGGACGGCCTTGGCAGCCCGTCCGATCAACTTTCAAATGGATCACCGTCAAGCTCTGGTGGTAGCCCCGGATCTTCTGGTGACATGGATTGTGATCACAATTCATGGCTGGAGAATAGTATTGAAGCATCGAGTGAGTTCCCTCCGATCACGTGTCCTTTCCGTATGGAAATCTCTGTAAGAGCTTCTGGAAGCTAATCCTTCATGTGATAGTATCATCTCTTCCCTTTTCCAACGGTCGCGGGGAAGCCGTGAAGATCGTCTCGCAAATGCTTCCTTACCCACGACCGGCTGACAAGTCCGCCCCGGTCTCCGCACACGATAGCGTATACTGCGCCCTGGTTCACGCGATACAAGATCGCCTTCGCCATGGACAGTCTCCATACATCAACATCACTCATGCTGTTCCTGAACAGTTCAGCCTTTCCAACTTACCCTCCTCTCCTCCACCGACGCCTCGCTCGCTCTTCTCCGGCGAGGATTATTTCAACCCACCGGCTGTCTTCTCCAGTGCAGCCGTGGTTTCCGCCTATCACGATTTCCGGGGTCCGATCCAACCCAAGACGACGTACTCTCCGATGCCGATCGTGCCGCCACACACCGTCCACGTTTCGGTCTTGGAGCGGTATCTCCCTCCGTCGTCCCCACAGGAATACAAAGACATGTTCTCCCGGTATCGTCCGTCATTCTTGGTCGACCGACTGAGTGAGCTATCACCTGACGGCGGGTCATTACTATTCGTCTACCCCACGAGAAGGGGTGCATCCACCTTTAAGTCGCAATATCTCGGACCCATCCTAGATCCCTTACTCCGTCAGCTTGTGGTTGTGAATGAGTTGTCCACCGACATCGGTCGCTATCTGGGGAAGCTGTCGTCCGTCTCACACATGGAAGACTTTGACACGATGCGGCAAAACCTCTCCCAGCTCTGTTGCGATCTGAGCTCCCCATCGTCTCAATTCAGTATTGTCGATGCCCGCAAGGGCAGTGCCCATCTGGACCGTGATCTGTGGACCGAGTGGTACATTCACCAGGAGAAGTCTCGTATGAAGGAGGTTCTCAGCGTATACTGGCAGAACGGCCGCCGGCTACCTGCGACCAAGGCAGTGTCGAATATGTCGACAAATTACATCCTGGAGGATAAAGAGGTGACTTCGGCCATGCTCTTAGGGGAGATCCTGGATGGTATCCGAAGACGGCCATATGGCGAGGATTCGGAGCCTCGGGATGGTGTTGAGTTGGGAGTTTTCGTGATCCGCCGGACTCACTAAGCACGGGTTCTGCAGCTGTGGAGCCAGTTGCGGGCGGGAATACCTCTCCGCCTCCGTATATGGATGCTCCATCTTCTTGATTATGCTTCATCTTTTCCTCTTCTCTTTTCTTTGCTTTTAATATTTTCTTGAAGGATATATAGCCGTGTGATTCAAAATGGGGAACTGGCGGGTCCGGCGGCGTCTGCGGAGTTGGGCTTTGGGTTCTCGATTGCACGTTTGGGAATGTCTAGGGAGCATTGACTGTGTGCATTTGCTATTATCGGATGAAAATACCCAGGATATCTATTTCATGGCAGCGTGATGACCACTAGCATGTGTTTACTACTACTTTTTTACTCTTTTTAACTAGATGATGGAAATACATGATCCGCCCTACAGAAGGCAACCCAAAGGCAGCGATAGATGATGTCAGCGTAGTGAGTTGTACACCGTATACGACAATGGTAATTCCTATGCAAGACTCTCCCATAGATAATGGAGTGCACACTGCAATTGTCGTCTTGTGTTAATTCATGTGTTAGCAAGCATACAAAAACTCAAGTCTGTGTAGTTAGTAACTCTGTATGGCTTCACTGCAGGCCGGGAAAACACCGACAGGCCGGGCGGTCAAAAATGTCCCCGAGGCTAATCCGCTTCGGGCCAACGGCCGGCCTCCCGCCTTCTGCTCTCCTCCGTCACTCTCCAGTCCAGTTCTTCTGCCTCCTCTTTCTTCGCCTCGAATTTGCCTGGTCGCTTGTCATCTCCGTGCTTATGCAGACTGCCTTTCGAGCCTTTCGGTCTCGCCCTGCCTTGTTCCGGCAGCAGTTTCCTGCCAAGCCCAGCTTTGCTTCTCCCACTGAGCCTTCTTCTCATCGCCCTTCTCAACTCTTCGCAGTGTTTGCCCTCCACTCCTCTCTCTCTTTCTCGCTCTAGCACCTCCACCATTCTTGCTCATGGCCTACTCTCCTGGCCCAACATCCCCGGTTCACGGGAACGGGGCGCCCATGATGGCAAATAACTTACAATCTCGAGGGCGCTCCACTAGTCCTCCGACCAGCGTGCCGCTGTCGAAACGGGACAAACGACGCAGCGCGCTCCAGGAGCGCCTCCATGACCTCACGGCCTCGTTCAGCCAAAACAGAGATACCCAGTTCCGCCAGCAATTGCATGCTCTTCAATGCGACATGACTCTCATTAACAATGCTGATCCTTACGAGCCCGGCCCTCTCCCCGATTCGGCGGAGGATATCGCCCGCCTTATCGAGAATACCGTCGGTGGGGGCAAGTTCGCCAAGGAGATGGCAAGTCTGGCCGGCATGTGGTACTCGCGGTTCGTGCAGGAGGTCAATCAGGTCAAGGCGGAGAAGGATGCGGATTTGGCTATGTTGGTGGTGAGTTCATCTTAGCACTGCTTTTGTTTTTTCTGTCGAGCTCGCGGGCTAATGTTTATTCTCTTCTCCAGCATCGTCACAATCATAATCTCGAACGGTTCAAGCAGGAGTATGCGTTTCGGGTCCACTTCGCGGAGGAAGAATACAATAACTTGTCGCTTACCCTTCGGGAGCGTCTTGTTCAAACGATTTCGGGCAAGAGGGCTCGCTTGATGCGAGAAAAAGAGCAGTTGGACCTGGCAGATACCAACGCCCTTCTCCTGCACCCCAATCAGTTCAGCATTACCAACCCTGCCAGTCCGGGCGGGATCCACGGAAACCGCAAGACTCGTCACACCCGCCACCGTGTTGATTTGGACGAGCTCGGCAATGGGATCATGTCAGAGCATTTCAATAAGCGCAAGAGAAAGGCGGCTGATGAGGATGTGGGCTCGCCTGTGCGCGAGACCAACCCCGCCGAGCGCGCCAAGGCCCAGGCGGCCCAGCAGCAGCAAGCGCCGTCTTACTCCATCAATTCTCTCTTTACGGAGAGGGAGCTTGGTGCTCATGCCAATGCTGCACACATTGCGACAGTCCACTTCTTCTCGA